GCTGTGTTTTCATTTTCTCTTGTTGTCCAAGCTCAGCAAGTTTCAAACTCATCTAGTTCTGGATATTTTATAGATCAAAGATGGTTGAAACATTCCTTCTGACTTTTCTCCCTTTGTGGATGTGTAACCCTTGGCATTTGGAATCTCTGAGCAATGGTCTGTTTTTGGCCTTTATTTTGGTTTTCATCTTAAATTGTCATGTAACTCATTACCCTCACGTTGCATCTGCAATTAAATCCCTTATTGCCTCATTATAACCCAGGCGGGGGACTCTGAACTTAGGATAAGCAAATTAGAGAGGCATTTTGCTGCAGAATATGTGATGTTGTTCCTTATAGCTACTGACAGAACTTTTAATTTGCTCCAACACCGGGCCTTTGAAGTGGGGGCAGCCACATTATATTACACTGGGAAACAAATTTTTTTTTTCATTTTCTGTTGCATGAGATTTTTCAACTGCTCTTATATGTTCTTTCAATGCTGATTTCAAATCTGAAATCAATTTTCGTGTATGTGCTATAGTTATCTTTCAATTTCTGACTTTTCCCTATATGTCATATTTACACTGGGGATAAGTGGACACTGACCCGTTGATCTACCCTAACCACATGGTAATTATTGTTTTGCAAACTTAATTTTTCTTTATTTTTATAGTTTTGTAACCTAAATATTTGTATTTTTCATATCGGACCATGGCTTCTTCAAGTAGACAAAAATGTGTAAGATTTGAAATCAGCATTGAAAGAACATATAAGAACAGCTGAAAAATCTCATGCAACAGAAAATGGGGGGGGGGGAATGTTCCCCAGTGTACTGTGTATCCCAAGGGAATACATTTTTTTTGCATACCTCCAACTGTACATAGATAAACATGTCATGTTCAATGCTATATAAGTCACATTTATACTCATATTGTACTACTATGGCTTTGTGTTTAATAAAATATTGAATTCTTGCATTGTGAAAAACAAAATTATGGTGAAAAGTGAAAAACAGGAATTGCAAAAAAACAACAACCTAGAGCTTACAGAACAAAACCAACTTCAGATGAAATCAGCACGTCGAAATTAGGTTAGAACTGCAGGTGTCAATGCAACAAAATTTTTGTTTCCCAGTGTTGTTGTTGTTGTTAAAATCTCTATACCACCTTCTGGACTCAGCTACATTGGCAAAGAAAAAGCACTTTATAGGCATTGCATGTGCATTATAACACTGTGACACCAGGTGGCGCTGTGGAGTTCCGTTTCTGCCAACTCGATTTCTCATACAAAGCTTACAATGCTTGAATTTCAGGGTGCAACAGAGTATATAACCGCCTTCCTCCCAAATCAGCATCCTGTTCTCACAGGGGCCAGATGCCTGTCAGAAACCTGCAAGCAAGAGCCGGGTGCAAGAGTCCTTCCTCCTCCTGCGGTTTCCTGCAACTGGTATTCCCTGTATCCAGGGCAGCTGTCTAGCAGATCCATCTGGTACGCAGGCTGAGACCCTCCCTGCCCGCGGACTGTCTCGTGGTGCATACTCTGGTTATCTCCCGCTTGGACTACTGCAATGCACTCTACGAGGGGCTACCTTTGAAGGTGACCTGGAAACTGCAATTAATCCAGAATGCGGCAGCTAGACTGGGGACTGGGAGGGGGCGCCGAGAACACATAACACCGGTCTTGAAAGACCTACATTGGCTCCCAGTACGTTTCCGAGCACAATTCAAAGTGTTGGTGCTGACCTTGAAAGCCCTAAATGGCCTCGGTCCTGTATACCTGAAGGAGCGTCTCCACCCACATTGTTCACCCACTGAGGTCCAGCGCCGAGGGCCTTCTGGCAGTTCCCTCCCTGCGAGAAGTGAGGTTACAGGGAAGCAGGCAAAGGGCCTTCTTGGTAGTGGCACCCGCCCTGTGGAACACCCTCCCACCAGAAGTCAAAGAGAACAACAACTACCTGACATTTAGAAGATATCTGAAGGCAGCCCTGTTCGGGGAAGTTTTTAATGTGTGACATTTTAATGTATTTTTAATGTTTGTTGGAAGCCGCCCATAGTGGCTGGGGAAACCCAGCCAGATGGGCGGGGTACAAGTAAATAATAATAATAATAATAATAATAATAATAATAATAATAATTAATATTGCTGCCTCCGACTGTGGAGGCAGAGCAGAATCTTCCTGGCTAATCGCCATTTGTAGTTTTATCCTCCTCTGGTAATTTGTCCTTCTTTTAAAGCCATCCCAGTTGCCGGCCATCACTGCCTCTTCCTGCGGAAATGAGTTCCAAAGTTTAACTCTGCATTGGTCAGTAAACAGGTCATCTAGGAGCATCCCCTTGCGCGTCTGTATCTGAAACCACAGGACTTCATCATTTGCTTCCCTTTTCAGGCTGTAAAAGCTGGCTGGGAGAGCCTTTTGGCTGTCCGAGCAGAGGGTGAAAAAAGGGAATTTGCAATATAAACTGCACATGTGATAAATGAGGATCCGGACAATTACCAGCCGGGCTTTTCACTTGGAAGAATGTCCCCGGGGCTGGAGGCTCGCATGTCTTGTGCCTCCTGCACCTGAGCAAACCTCAGCCTCTGAAACGCGAAGAGAGAGAGGCCCTTTTAAAAAGAAAAAGGAAAACCCTGCTCTCTGATCCTAGAATTCTCAGCCCACAAACCAGATCCCACCCAAGGAGACTCAAGGAGATTTACCCGTTGCCTCTATGTGGCACGACAAATATTTGCCTTGAATTCCTGCCCCCAAGTAGCCTCGTTTCTCTTTGCTGGCCTCGCTGAAATGTGCAATTGCTGAAATGTGCGAAGAGTCCCAGAAAAGTCTGGGTCCTTCACGGGCGAGGTCTGCGTTGGTCTTCCACGTGTGCAGAGGAGGGTGACAAGCCGCCTGAGGAACGGTTGAGGGCATTTAGCCTGCAGAAGGGAAGATGGACAGGTGACAAATATCTCAAGGGCTGTCGCATGGAAGTCGGAGCTGGCTTGTTCCCTCCTGCTCCAGAGGGTGGGACCTAAAACAAATGGAATCAGAGGACAAGGAAGGAGATTCTGACTAAACGTAAGGAGAACTTTCTGGGGGTAAGAGCTGTTTGACATTGGAACAAGCTACCTTAGAAGGTGATGGATTCTCCTTCCTTGGAGGTTTCAAGCAGAGGTTGGAGGGCCATCTGTCGGGGATGCTTTAGTTGACATTCCTGCATTGCAGGGGGTTGGACTAGATGGCCCTGGGGTGTCCCTTCCAACTGGATGATTCTATGTCTCTATGCCTATGTGAGAGAGGCCTCTACCTCTCTTTCAAATCAGAACCAGTGAAGGCGGTGAAGATCCTGTGTGAGTGCCTGGAGGCGGTTGGAGGATGGATGGCGACTAATGGATTAAGGTTGAATCCTGACAAGACAGAAGTACTGTTTTGGGGGAGACAGGAGGGCCCCCGGGTCCTGAATGGGGTAACTGTGCCCCTGAAGGACCAGGTGTGCAGCCTGGGAGTCATTTTGGACTCACAGCTGTCCATGCTCAATTCTGTGTCCGGGGCAGCTGTTTATCAGCTCCATCTGGTACGCAGGATGAGACCCTCCCTGCCCGCGGACTGTCTCACCAGAGTGGTGCATGCTCTGGTTATCTCCCGCTTGGACTACTGCAATGCATTCTACGTGGGGCTACCTTTGAAGGTGACCCGGAAACTACAACTAATCCAGAATGCGGCAGCTAGACTGGTGACTGGGAGGGGCCACCAAGACCACATAACACTGGTCCTGAAAGACTTGCATTGGCTCCCAGTACGTTTCCGAGCACAATTCAAAGTGTTGGTGCTGACCTTTAAAACCCTAAATGGCCTCAGTCCAATATACCTGAAGGAGCGTCTCCACCCCTGTTATGTACTGAAGTTCTCACCCTGGGCCAGCAGGGGGATACTGTAGATTGTTTTCACTCAGGTCCACATATGCAAATAAGGAATTGAAAGTGATGTTCAGTGATTAGATAGTTACAGAAAGTTGTTGCTGTTGCCTTGTAGTTGAGCTCTATATGAGCAGGCTGGCTGAACCCTTCAGTTCAGTTCTGTTCTGGCCTGTGAATAAACAAGAGCTGTTTGAAGAATCACTGTGTCGTCTGATATGTTCACCCACAATTTAACAACCCCCATCGTTCTGCCAGACACTGAGGTCCAGCGCAGAGGGCCTTCTGGCAGTTCCCTCACTGCAAGAAGCCAAGTTACAGGGAACCAGGCAGAGGGCCTTCTCGGTGGTGGTGCCTGCCCTGTGGAACGCCCTCCCACCAAATGTCAAAGAGAAGAACAACTACCAGACTTTTAGAAGACCTCTGAAGGCAGTCCTGTTTAGGGAAGCTTTTAATGTTTGATGCATTACTGTATTTTAATATCTTGTTGGAAGCCGCCCAGAGTGGCTGGGGAAGCTCAGCCAGATGAATGGGGTATAAATAATAAATTAGTAGTATTAGTAGTAGTAGTAACTGGTGAAGCACCAACCCAGTCAGGTAGGGATGCGCATCTCTTTGCCTGCGCATATCTGTTGCCTGCAGGGGCCGCAGAAACCGTGGGAGCTGCTGCCGGCACTCTTGTCGCCACCCACATTGCCCCATGACCAAGGCGTGCATTGTGCTCATCCTGGTAGCGGGTCCCCTGCTGTGCAAGCCCCTTGCGCCTTCCTGCGGCAGCAGCTACTCAGAGTAATAAGCGTAGCCGGGAGGACTGCAAACGGAAAATTGGATCGTGTGACTGGAACGATGCCTGTGGGAGTGGGGGGGCAGGCAGTAATAGGTTTATTGCTTTGGGAACGAAGGCCGCATTCACACCATACATTTAAAGCACGTTCCCAGGATTCCTGGGAATTGGAGTTTGAGGGTGGTGGGAATTGTAGTTCTGTGAGAAGGAACATCCGTTCCCAGAATGATTGGCAGGGCAGTGGAGATGTGCTTTAAATGTGTGGTGTGTATGTTGCAGGCCATGGGTTCGAGCCCCTGTGGGACCACAAATATCCCCCCCCCCTTTCTATTCCCCTTTCCACAGCATTGGTGGTTCAGTGGTAGAATTCTCACCTGCCAAGTGGTAGGTCTGAATTCGATTCCCGGTCAATGCAGTAACATGGTGGTTCAGTTGGTTAGAGCATGGTGCTGATAACGCCACGGTTGCAGGTTCGATCCCTGTATGGGATGACTGCATACTCCTGCATTGCGGACGGTTGGTGTAGATGACCCTGGGGTTTCCCTCCCAACTCTATTATTCTTTGCAATTTCGTCCTTCCAGTCTGGGACGCTTTGGGGGTCAATTGTTTTTTGTTCTGCTCGCTTGCCTTCTGTCATGTTTGCACTTAAAAAAATAAATAAATCAACCTGGAAAAAAGGGGGGAACAGCAGCGTGCCCCTGGGCATGTGCAGAGCGCGACTCCCTCCCCCCCAGGCTATGGCAGAGCCACTGCCCCCTCCTTCCCTTCCATCCGAGGGAGGAGCTTTCAGCAGCAGAGAAGGACCAGGCGCGATCCTGCTCCGCCTCGCCGTCCCGTCGGGCGTCTGGCGGCGCGGGCACGCCCTCTGGCGGCGCTTTAAAAGCCCTGCAAGCGGCGGAGCGAGCGGCAGGCAGGCGCTTCCGACGGCCGGGGCACCGGGCGGGCGAAGATGCAGCGGCGGCGGCGGCGGCAGGAGACGGGCGGGCGGACTGGGCGATGGACGGAGCCGAGGTGAGCGCGGTCCCTCTTGGGCTGGCTGCAGGGGAAGCGTCCCGGCAGCCGTCGAGGCGGACGGACGGACGGACGTGCCTGCCAGCCTGCCTTGCTCGCGGGAAGGGGCGCGGGGACAGCGGGGAGGGATCGGGGCGACAGGCGGTTAGGAGGGAGAGAGAGTCGGGCGAGTGGGTTTGGGCTCTGGGGACTCGACGGGCGCTCCCGAAAGCCCTGCCCGTGAATCCTAAATGGTGGTTATTCTGGAATTGCCAAGAGGAAGGCGGCATGCACTCTGCACATGCTTAAAGGCGCTTCTCTTTCATCTTTGCCCAGTGGTTTTTGGGCGCGGGATGAAGAAGCCCGGTGGAGGCGCAAAAGCCTGTTCATCCGATGAAGAAAGCGGAAGGTCGAGGTGCAAGGGACACCACGGGTCATCTAGTCCAACCCCGGCTGCAAGTGGAGGTGATAAGGGGTTAGGGAGCAAATTGGTGAGCGGATCGACAGTTGGGAGGGAGATGGGGATGGTGGCTGGATGGAAGGAGGAGCGGGAGAGATCTACTAGGCAGACAGAGAGGGTGATAAAGTAGATTCCTGGGAGCTGCCTTTGGACACTGGTGGCAGCAAAAGACTGATTGTTGCAATACTAAATAGGTGCAAATGGTCAGAAACGGGTTTCTTCTTAGGGGCGGTCAGGGACTCAGAGGTAGCACACCTGCTTTGCATCCAGAAGGTCCCATGTTCGATCCCTGGCAGCATCTCCAGGTAGGGCTGTGTGGTGCAGTGGTTAGAGAGTGTTGGATTAGTACCCAGGAGACCAGGGTTCAAATTCCCAACTCACTGGTTAGTCACTGCACCTCAGCTTCACTCACCTCGCAGGGCTGTTGTGGGGGATTAAATGAGGAGGGGGAGAACTTTGTAGGCCACCTTGAGCTCCTTGGAGGGAAAGGTTTGAAATCAAGGCAATAAATTGGGCAGGGAGCGTCGCCTGCTTGAAACTCTGGGGAGCTGCTGCCAGTCCGTGTAGACAGTATTGATCTAGATGGACCCGATGCTCAGCTTTCTAGCTTCCTAAAATAGGCTTTGGGCTACAGAAGGGTTGTGGCTCAGGAGTAGAACACCTGCTCTGCATGCAGAAGGTCCCAGGTTCAGTCCCAAGGCAGCACCTTCCAGTAGGGTTAGGAGACGCCCCCTGTCTGAAACTCTTCAGAGCTGCTGCCAGCCAGAGTTGACAGCATTGGGCTCTTACAGTACAGGGCTCTTCGGCGCCATTTCCCCTCTTCCTGCTGCTGCTTACAGGGTCCCTCTGAAAGCCATCCGAAATCTGCCGTTTATCCGTACGGATGGAGATAGGAAAATGCCCTGCAAATTTCTGCCTTGGCCTCGTCTTTTAGCCATGGTTGGTGGGATGGAGGGAATTGTAACCAGAGGACTTAGGAAGGATGAGGCGACGATGCCTCTGCCTGTCTTGTTCTCAAACAGCCGGCTCACAGCCTAAGCGCAGATCAGTTTTGCCTTGGCTGTTCAGAAAGCCTGAAAATTTATATCCAAAATGCACCAAGTGACTAAGGAGACCAGCAAGGAACCCAGGGGTCATCTAGCCCAACCCCCTTCGATGCAGGAATCACAACTGAAAAATCCCTGGCAGGTGGCTGCCCAATCTCTGCATAAAAACCTCCAAGGAAGGGGGAGTCCACTGCCTAGGTATTTATAGCGCACCTTCTCTCCAAAGAGGTGGTGTTTGTGTCTTGCCGCTGTACCTTCCCCACAACCTTGCGAGGCAGGCTCAGGGAGAGAGGCTGGAGCCAGGCCACAAAAGCGAGTTCCGTGGCTGTGGGGAGATTCGAACCTGGGTCTCCCCCACTACGTTGCACCGGTCCTCTGACTCGGCTCCGTGCCCTGGAAATATCTCCTTGGGGTGCCTGATTCCGGATGGCATGGCAGTGTTGGGGGGGGTGATGTTTAGAGGCGCCCCCCCTTGCAACCAGCGCAGCCTTTGCAACATTGCGCGGGCCGTTGGGTGGGGCACCCCCCCTCTCCGCCTGCAACGTGACAAAACGCCTTCGGGGAGGCGGGGGAAGCCCTGAGCACCCGCCACCCACATAATGCGCGTGAAAGCTGAGCTGGCTTCGCTTCTGAGTCGGCGTGCATGGAATTGCACTTCAGTTGCGCTGAGTGCTCCTGCCTATGCCAGCCCCAGAGCTGTGGGGAGAGTGCGGGCTGCTTGAAGAGCTGGTTCCCCATCCCAGGGGCGTGTGTCTGGGCTGGGTGGAAAGGAAACCCCCCCCTTGTGTGTTCTCTGGACATCTCCTGAGCTCTTGACCACCTGCAACAGGACACACAGGTAAGGCTTTGATATGGTGCCATTGGAATCTGCTTCCGATGCGGGAGGGGGGATTGCTGGGAAATGTGTGAATTGGGAATAGAAGACAGCGCCCCTGAGCGTGTGCAGAGTCCCTTTCCTTCAATACTTGGTAAGTTGGAAGCAGCTGGCACAGATCAATGGCCGGGGAAAGAATTTGCAAGCAGGAGGGTGGGGGGCTGCAAAAACAACATCCCTTTTCATAGAAAATCAGCACAGGGCTCAAAATGCGATTTAGGTGTGTGCAATGCTCAGCAGTGAACATAGGGACATTTGGACTTAATGGTGTTACGGTAAACGTGCCCCCCCCTTAAATGGTCTTTTGTGTTATTTCACTTGCTCTGGAATGTGGGGTGCTGCGTTCGCAGACCTCCTGTTGCTTCTGCAAAGTGGAGTCCTGCACTCCTGCTCTGAGCGCTCCGCCGGTGATGTTGCAACGCTGATAACGGAACAGTACGAGAGAAAGCGGTCCGTAGCTTTCCGTTGCTTAATAAGAATATTTAACGACCACTCGTACCTAATATGCTTAGAGTAAAACACTCCACAGAGGGGTGAGACTTTTCAAGGGCTTAAAGCTGGGGTTTGAAAGAGGGATGTGGCAAATTCATGGGTCTCTCCCTGTATATTTGTCACGACGGCTCTATGGAGCCTCCAGTTCAGGTGCAGTATACCTGCAGGGGGAGATATTGCTGGGCTCTTGCCTTTCTTGCCCTGCTTTTTCAATGGAGGGAAGGGGCTTCCCAAAAGTGTCTATTTTGCCCCCGTGAGAAGAGGGCAATCTTGAGTTGGGTGGTCCTTTGCTCTGACCCAGCAGGGAAATCCTTGTGTTCTTATGGTAGGCTTAGCATTATGCAGATAATGGGAGACTTGGCTTAGTTTGGTTTAACCTAATATGTTTGTCTAAGTAAGCTTTAGCAGAGCATCAGAGGAAAGAGAGGAGGGGGACCACGTATATTCCTCAATCCGTGCCGTAAAAATGTATTTATTAGCGACGGCTTGTGCCGAAAACAAGGACAGGGACGTGCAAATGCCATCCAAAATGCACAGCCCATTGAAAGCAATGCAGTGCACAGTTAGTTCCCTGCCCGGGAAGTGGACAACGGCTTGTGTGCAGATCTTGTTGGCTGTCTCGGGATGCAGAGAAAGGAAGGCAGAGCTGGGGGAAGATTGGTTTCCTAGAATCATAGAATTGCAGAGTTGGAAGGGACCCCACAGGTCATCCAGCCCAACCCTCTGCAATGCAGAAATCACAGCTAGAGGAGTCCCTGGCAGGCAGCCACTCGACCTCTGCTTAGAAACCTCCAAGGAAGGAGAGCCCACCGCCTCTTCTGGGAGTCTGTTCCACTGCTGAACAGCTCTTACTGCCAGGAAGTTCTTCCCAATCTTAAGTGGAATCTCATTTGAATCCACTGGTTCTGGTCCTGCCCTCTGGAGCAGCAGGAGGAAGAACCGAAATGTTTGGGAAGAGGGAGCGGCAAGAGGAAAATGTGCAAGGCTGTTTAACAGGCCCATCTAGCATAGCATCTTTTTTCCGATATGGTCATGTATGTATGCTATAAAATGCATGTCCATGTGTAGGGCTATGGCGCCCTTTTGCCTGTAATCTGTCATTATTTTTTCAGGAGCTGAGGTCTCACCTGCTCTGCTGCTTAAACTTAGCGGGTGTGTGTGTGTGTGTGCTTGTGGAGCCCTTTAATTGAAAAAAGTCCATGCCGATTCTGCATAACTATGTCTCCCCATCACCATTTTCCCAGGCCAGTAGTAATGTCCTGCCTTCAAACCATGCTTAATTTTAGAATACGAAGAAAATCTCGGAAAGTTATCTGCTGCTCCCCCCCTTTCCAACACTTGCGTTCTCTTTCTGTGTGTGTGTGTGTGTGTGTGTGTGTGTGTGTGTGTTTTATTAAACAATGTGTTTTGTTGAGTCTCTGTGTCCCCTGCTGTTGGGATTGAGGCAAGTTTAGAGCAATTACATGCTTGCAAGTAAAGGGAGAGAGGTGGCTTGTCAGAGTGAAGGAGGGCAAAGCCAAACCATTGCTCTGTTTGCTGACACTCTCTGTGAGGAGCAGGTCGCTGCAAAATGAGGGAGAGAAGCAGAACCGCAGGGGAGATCGGACTTGCCCATTTCTGCCTTCAAAAGGTCTTAGCATCTGAGGAAGGGAAGGGCTATATCTCAGAGTCAGGGCAGAGGGTGTGTATGCAGAAACCTCAGGACTAGTTCCATGCCTGGCATCTCCAGGGAAAGCGCAGAGAGTGTGATGCAGCAGCAAATAAGGCTAATGTGATCCTAGGCTGCATCAACAGAAGTATAGGGTCCAAATGAGGGAGGCAAGAGTGTTGCTCTCTTCTGCCTTGGTCAGACCACACCTGGAGTCCAGGGTCCAGTTCTGGACACCACAGTATAATAATAATAATAATAATAATAATAATAATAATAATAGTAGTGTTAATTATTATTATTATTATTATTTATTTATTTATACCCTGACCAGTGGCTGGGATTCCACAGCCACTCTGGGCAGCTTCCAACTGAATATTAAAAACAACACAGCATCAGACATTAAAAACTTCCCTAAACAGGGCCGCCTTCAGTTGTCTTTTAAAAGTAAAATAGTTGTTTATTTCCTTGACATCTACAGGGAGGGTGTTCCACAGGGCAGGCGCCACCACCAAGAAGGCCCTCTGCCTGGTTCCCTGTAACCTCACTTCTCTCAGGGAGGGAACCGCCAGAAGGCCCTCGGAGCTGGACCTCTGTGTCCGGGCAGAACGATGGGGGTGGAGACGCTCCTTCAGGTATGCAGGACTGAGGCCGTTTAGGGCTTGAAAGGCCAGCACCAACACTTTGAATTGGGCTCGGAAGGATTCCCTTGGAGGTGGTGGACTCTCCTTCACTGGAGGTTTGTAAACAGAGGTTGGGTGGCCACCTGTCAGGGGTACTTCAGCTATGATTCCTGCAAATCAGGGCGTTGGACTAGATGACCCTCGGGGTCCCTTCCAACTCTACAATTTCTTGATTCTGAATGTCGTTGGCCTTGACCGATGGCTCTGCTGGCTGGAGCTGATGGGACTTGTAGTTCAGCAATATCTGGAGGGCCAAAGGTATGTCCCCGCACCTGATGTCAGCAGTGCTGAGCTAGACTGGCTCTGACTCTGAGCATCGGGTGCACCCGGAGCCAAAGGCTGGTGGAACAGGGGCAAATAAGGAAATCTCTCTCCTCTTCCGTCACTGAGTTGAGCCCAGGCTGGGTGGGGAGCTGTGCATGGGAGTCGGCAGGCCCTGTTTTGGGGGGACATCTAGGGCACCCCATCACCTCTCTAGGCGGCAACAGGGAAAACGGGGCGCTCTCCGGCTAAGCTCGCAACCCGGCTCCTCTGCGCCTGCAAAGGCACAAGCGGCACAGTTGGATTTCATTTATTTACTTACAGCATTTTATATCTTGTAAAATATTTCTGCAGCTCAAGCTGACTCGCTAAGCCCTCGCGATGCTTTTGCTCTGAAAAGTTCTGGCAGCTTCTCCAGGATTCTGCCTTTTGTGCATACATTTTGGCAGCCAGTCCAGACATTCGGTTCTTTTAAACCAAAACAACATCTGAGCCATTTTTATTTTTTTCTGGGTGGGTGGGTGTTGTTTCACAACCCCAAAAGGAAAAGCTATATGTTAGTGAGACTTTAACCCTTCCCCTCTGGGAGGGGACAGTTTCTCCTGTGTTCGAATCCTGCTTGCAAGGTTTCCCATTTGGGCATCTGGTTTATGGTTACCAGACGTCCCCGTTTCCCGGGGACAGTCCCCGGATTTACAAATCTGTCCCCAGACAAAATCTGTCCCCGGAATATCCCCGGATTTCATTTCAGGTCCCCGGATTTATATTTTAAGTGTTGTAGATTTATTAGTAGGGAATAAATGTTGTGTGATTGGTTCAACAGCACAAGACACATCATATGGGGACTTCTGGCGAGGCAAAATGGCGGGTGCCACGGCAGCAAGCAGCTCCTGAAGCCAGCCAGAGCCAACTGCTCTACCAGACTGGCTCTGGGCTGCTGAGACTGCTGCTGCCACTGCCAAGGGGGAACTGGGGATGCCCGGTGCGTCAACTGGGGGAACCGCAGGCCCCCCCATGACTCAAACTGAGCTGGGAGCGAGAGCGCCCGGCCCTCGACTGACTGCCCAGTGGCGCTCCGGGGCCAGGAAAATCCCAGAGCCAATGCAGGGAGAAGGAGGAGAGGAGAAGGGAGAGAAAGAGGAAGGAGGAAAAAGAGGGGAGCTCCGACCTTGCCGCGCCACTGCCGCTGAGGAGGAGAGGTGGGAGAGCACCGGGAAGGCAAGGACATGTGGCCGAGCCCAGGCCTGACCCGAGCCTACTCCACAGCGGCTAGCGCTCCCAGAGAGCCCAGAGGAAGGCCGTGTGACAGGGGAGACCACAGAAGAGAAGATATTACTTCTTATTTTTTTAAAAAATAACTTTTTTAAAAATAACTTTTTTTCTCTCTTTTCCCCCCCAAAAAGTGTCCCCGGATTCTTTGAAAAAAATCTGGTCACCTTAATGTGGTTGGCCACTGTGAGAACAGGATGCTGAACTAGATGGGTCCCTGGGCCTGATCCAGCATGCTTTTTTGATGTTCTTACGTGAAAAGGAGAAGGGATATACCTGGAACTTCTTTCCCTACCCCTTAAGAATGGCATCTCTGCTCCCACAATTGCTGAGGAAGGTTGGTTGGGAAGACTTTAGCCAGGAGATGCCGGTCAAGACGGACCGCTCTCTCTCTCTCTCTCTCTCTCTCTCTCTCCCTCTCTCCCTGCACTTTCCCCGATGACCGGCTAGAATATTGCACAGCCAGTGCAGGTGGGGAGGCAGTTAGGTACCCAGGATATAGCCCCCCCTCCGCCCCCCACCCAGGCCTTGATGAATGCTTGTGGACAGGCAAATGAAAGCAATTCTCTGCCACGAGACAAACTGTCAGCTCTCTGACAGGGTAGATTTCCGCAGATGGATGGAAAGACCGTAACTCACTTTGCGCTTTGGGTATGGTACACAAGCGTGATTAATATCAATGCTAAATTGTCAATTGGAGGAAGGCGGGTGGTTTGGCCAGATATGGGGAAGCAGGTAAGCAATCGGCTGGGCTTTTGATGGATGAGGTTGTCAGGTGCGTTGAAGGACTTGTTTTAAATAGGGATGTTTTACAGAAGGAGGATATGGAGCATTGAGAAATCTGTAAACAAACCCAAACCTCTGCTGGCTCCAATATGTATGTCTGTATACTCTTAGCTCGTCCCCTTCATATAAGAGAGGCAGACCCAAGGAACTGGTCTGGTCTGTCCTGCTTCTTCCTATAACCCTTGCATAAAACTTGGTGGCAGAGCAGCTTCTTTGATTGAAGAAGGTCCCATGTTCAGACCCTGCCAGCATCTCCGGGCAGGGCTGGGAGAGACGCCTGCTGGAAACCCTGGAAAGCTGCTGCCAGTCTGTGCAGGCACTATTGAGCTAGATGGGCCCAATGGTCTGATATGCTGCATAAGGCAGTCAAATTCAGCTTCGTATGTTCCTAAATACGCCTCGTTTCATGTCTTGGACTCCCAGCAAATGTTTGAGCTTGCTGCTTTCTGGGGCCTGCCCCACACCAGTATTAATCCCCTCCCAGCATCACCAATGAGAGCAACAGCTTACTGGGAGAGGCATCCTGCAGGCGCCCAGAAACCCTTTGCTTTGCTACTTTGCTATATACACACACACACACACACACACACACACACAGTCATACCTCGAGTTGTGCTTCGGGTTGAGCGCATTTGAGTTGCGCTCCACGGCAATCCGGAAGTAACGGAGCGTGGGTTACTTCCGGGTTTTGCCGCTAGCGCATGTGCAGACGCTCAAAATGACGTCGCGCGCATGCGCGGAAGCGGCAAAACGCGACACGCGCAGACGCGCCATCACGTCTTGCGTTCCATTCGGGATGCGAACGGGGCTCCAGAACGGATCCTGTTCGCATCCCGAGGTACCACTGTGTGTGTGTGTGTGTGTGTGTGTGTGTGTGTGTGTGTGTGTAATAATAATAATGGAAAAAGCTAAAAAAAAACTACAAAAAATATCAAAGTACATGGTATAAAACATAAGCTATTATGGGAAAGAAAAGAGGGGAAAGGAAAAGGAAAGGAGGAGGGGAAATAGAAAAGAAAAAAAAGATGAACAAGATGAAAAAAGGAGAGAAAAATGAGCCAAAACACAAGAAGGCTCGTCTAGGCTTCCATCAAGGTCACAACAGATCATTATTCTTATCAATTCTCTCTATCTGCATTCCACAGAATCCCTCATCTTGGTATCAGGGAACATTTCCCTATTCTACTTCGCAAGTTAAACACGGGAGCTTCCCTTCCCAGGCAGAGCAGCTTCTCAAGACTTGCAAGCAGTGATATCTGTTTAAGAAAAAGGACGATTTGAGGCTTATGTCTGCCTGAAATGGGGGTCTGTTGCTTTGACTGTCATTGCCCAACTAGAACTGCAATTATTAAGGGCTTTTTAAGTGCTTTACGCTGCCCTGGTGGTTTGAGAGGGTGCTATATAAATACCAGGGTTCAGACAAGGGTCTTTCTGGGGGTAGGGAATTGAATTCAGTTCACATTTTAAGTTGAATTTATTAAATTCCCAGGTTCCGAAACAATATGAGAACTGAAGCCCCACCCTCCTCCAAGTTCACAATTATCCAAATCTACAACACTGTTCTCCAGCCAAGCAAACATTTACAAAAATGTTATTATGATATGTACTTTTGTGTTTTTATACTGTATGTCGCCCTGTGGTCCTCGGATGAAGGGCAGCAGATAATAAAATTAATAAATCAACAATAAGCAGAGGAAAATGTGCAAAAAAATCAATATGAAAGCAGCATACAAAAATCACCATATTGGGAGCAATTGCTGGCAAGAGTGTGGACGTTGGTTAAGACTGCAATCAGAAATGTGTCTATTGAGGAGAATTCGGCTATTCCGAGAATTCGGAATAATATCCATGAGGTTTTTAAAAATAAACAAAAATTGCAAATTACTGCAGAAAAACAACTCTGGAGAACTGAATTTAAGGCTGGAAAAATTGAGAAACAGAGAGAAATGAAATTTGCAGATCCTTCCAGCCTTACAATTTGCCACCTGTATTCAAAGCAAATGTTCCACTACTAAGTCAGCCTTCTCCCAATCCACCTGTCCTCCAGGTATTTCTGACTACAACTCCTATCATCCATGACATCTGCTTGCAAAGTTTTGTCTGCCCTGCAGCCGCAGAGATCATTGTACTGCTGCATACATAACAGAGTTGAGTTCCGGGACTAGATCTTTCCGGGAAAGATAAGTGGAGCCGTCTTTCCCATAGGGCTTAGTGGTGCGTTGCGCCAGGGCGCCGGCCTCTCAGGGGTGCCCCAGCGATTTGGGGGAGCTGCGTGGCTTTGCCGGCGGCCTCCCCTTTCCCTGAACACCCGCCAGCTGCGCCCCGTCAACTACTGTGTTTTTCGCTCTATAAGATGCACCAGACCACAAGACGCACCTAGTTTTTGGAGGAGGAAAACAAGAAAAAAAATATTCCGAATCTCAGAAGCCAGAACAGCAAGAGGGATCGCTGCGCAGTGAAAGCAGCAATCCCTCTTGCTGTTCTGGCTTCTGGGGTAGCTGTGCAGCCTGCATTCGCTCCATAAGATGCACACACATTTCCCCTTACTTTTTAGGAGGGAAAAAGTGAGTCTTATAGAGCAAAAAATACGGTATATGTCTGGCGGGCATGCAGCTTCCTTCCCAAGCCTCCGCGGGGATTGCTCTCCTGCAGCGGCATGGGGAAGAGTTGCACACCCCCCCCCCCATGGTTGGCAGTGTGCAGCTTCGCCCCCCCAACTAGCCGTGGTCATTTGGGGGCGCTGGGCAGATATTTGCACCCCGGCGCCACATCTGCTAAAGACAGCCCTGAAGATAAGAAACTGATCTTTCTCTGTCTCTTTCTTATTTTTATCCCTTTGCTTATTTGCTATCTTCTTCATTTTCTTTCTTATTTCTTGTTCTGTTTCTGTTTTTTGTTATATATTTTAATAAACCAGTTCCCTGATGACGGAGACCTGGCTAAAAGTATACTTTGAAGCAAGGTTTGGGTGTGCTATGTTACCTTACGGTTTGCTTAGAAATAACTGCTGCCTGTTCCAAAGTGAAGAACTGCGTATGACTACAAAGGAAAGAGACAGCAGAAGTACAATGAACTCAATCAATCAATCAATCAATCAATCAAAAAGAGTGCAGAATGCAAAAAATCGCAAAATGCCCACCATGCAAACAGGAAATGTTTTCGGAGTGCCAGTTCACCTTGTGGCAGAGACACAGAAAACCTACCCATTGTGCGAGCCCCATCTCTCCCTTTTACCAAATGTATATATCTCTCGCCCGGGGGAAAGACACTGAGAAGTCAGTATGGAAAAAAATGACAACCTGCCAAGGCTCTGGAGAGATTATAATCAACCGGCTGCGATTCATTACATCTCCATTTTGAATTTTCATTTAACCCATTTAATCGGATAATGGCACATTCGTGAATCCATCAGTTAAGCCAGTCTGGTATCTCAGGTATCGGACATGTGCTTGTTCAGTCTTCCCCGCGGCCTCTGGCCTGTCCACTCTCTGCCATGAAAATGATTTAACGCTTCTCTGTCTATTGCTGTCCCCCTGGATTCTGCCCAGCCAGGGAGTGTGTGAGATTGCTTGCAGAGAAGCCAGGCTGCGTTCAGCGGGGCTTGCTCCCAGGTAGGCACGCAGACGATGGCAGCCAGGATCACTTGCCAAGTAGAAAGAAAAGCGCCAGGGCTTTCAGTGAGCTGTCACGTCCTTCACCCACCGGGCGCCCTCCAGATGTAGACTATAGTTCCCATCCACCTCAACCATCACAGTCCAAAACCAGAGGGTGCCAGCTTGGCGCAGGCCAAACTAATAGCATCAGCCTCCTTATGCTGTCTTATTGTTGTTTAGTCGTTTAGTCGTGTCCGCCTCTTAATGACCCCCTGGACCAGAGCACGCCAGGCACTCCTGCCTTCCACTGCCTCCCGCAGTTTGGTCAAACTCATGCTGGTAGCTTCAAGAACACTGTCCAGCCATCTCGTCCTCTGTCGTCCCCTTCTCCTTGTGCCCTCCATCTTTCCCAACATCAGGGTCTTTTCCAGGGAGTCTTCTCTTCTCATGAGGTGGCCAAAGTCTTGGAGCCTCAGCTTCAGGATCTGTCCTTCCAGTGAGCACTCAGGGCTGATTTCCTTCAGAATGGAGAGGTTTGATCTTCTTGCAGTCCATGGGACTCTCAAGAGTCTCCTCCAGCACCAGAATTCAAAAGCATCAATTCTTCGGCGATCAGCCTTCTTTATGGTCCAGCTCTCACTTCCATACATCACTACTGGGAAAACCATAGCTTTAACTATACGGACCTTTGTTGGCAAGGTAATGTCTCTGCTTTTTAAGATGCTGTCTAGGTTTGTCATTGCTTTTCTCCTAAGAAGCAGGCGTCTTTTAATTTCATGGCTGCTGTCACCATCAGCAATGATCATGGAGCCCAAGAAAGTAAAATCTCTCACTGCCTTATGCTGTCTATCAACCCTCTAATTAAATATCTTTGGGTTGAAGTCAGCAATAAAGATGAGAGAGCCTCCAGCACCTAGAATAGAATAGAATAGAATAGAATAGAATAGAATAGAATAGAATGCTCTTATGCATTGCTCTTAGTTTGCAGCCTTTGGTCATGCTGTCGTGTGACCAAGAGACCCTGCCTATTAGTCTTAACTACGGCTTGCTTGATAGCAGCCAGTTTCATTCATAAGCTATAGTTTGCAGTTGACTTTTCTCAAGTAACTGCAGTCTGTTGGGTTTGGACGAATGCCAAAGTGAGGTTAATTAAAAAATTCAAGTGGCAGTTTTCAAACTTCCCCAGGGAAGCTTGAGCTTCTTTGTAGCTGCTCGATTTTGGTGATATTTATTTTCAGCGTGGTGCGTTTCTCTAAAAAGGTATGGCTATCTTCTTTCCATTATGAGGAATTCTTGCAGGCACAACTGACAAATGGATAGCGGAAAGTCGCTTTTACTTATCTATCTCTGTCTCTTTACTTTCTTACCCATATCTCTTTGCTTATTTGCTATCTCCTTCGTTTTCTTTCTTTCTTATTTCTTGTTCTGTTTCTGCTTTTTTGTTGTATGTTGAAAAGTTGTAATAAAACTATATTTGAAGAAGAAGCTAATTTGGCCTGATTGGATAGATTTTAACACTTGCTGGATCTAGGGATTAATTAGAGTTTGGCACCCACAAACTCATAACTATATACACACATCACTCTCCCGAAGGCAGAAATAAAGAAGAAGAGAAAGCACAAAGTCCTTTTCCACCATCACGGGCCAACTCATCAATTTTTAGCTTGTGTGATAAGGTAAAGGTAAAGGGACCCCTGACCATTAGGTCCAGTCGTGGCCGACTCTGGGGTTGCGGTGCTCATCTCGCTTTATTGGCCGAGGGAGCCGGCGTGCAGCTTCCGGGTCATGTGGCCAGCATGACTAAGCCGCTTCTGGCAAACCAGAGCAGCGCACGGAAACGGCGTTTACCTTCCCTCCGGAGCGGTACCTATTTATCTGCTTACACTTTGACATGCTTTTGAACTGCTAGGTTGGCAGGAGCAGGAACCAAGGAAGAGGAGCTCACCCTGTCGTCGGGATTCGAACCGCCGACCTTCTGATCAGCAAGCCCTAGGCTCTGTGGTTTACACCACAGCCCCACCTGCGTCCCACCTTGTGTGATACCTTGGTTTTATTTCTAAAGTTGAGCCTCTGGTACCTCCTTTCTTAAGCCTTTTGAGGGGGGCTACAGTGGTGCCTCGCAAGACGAAATTAGTTTTTTCGTCTTGCGAAGCAACCCTATTAGCGGCTTCGCGGATTAGCGCTATCAGCGGTTTAGCGGCTATTAAAGGTTTAGCGGCTTAGCGGCTTAGAAAAAGGGGGGGGGGAGCGAAAAAAAATCTCAAGACTCGCAAGACATTTTCGTCTTGCGAAGCAAGCCCATAGGGAAATTCGTCCTGCGAAGCGCATCAAAAAACGGAAAACCCTTTCGTCTAGCGGGTTTTCTGTCTTGCGAGGCATTCGTCTTGCGGGGCACCACTGTATTCAGTTTGCTTCCCCCTCCCTCCCCGTCAACTGCATCTAAGGCCAGCTGTGATCTTTCTTAAGCTATCGTCACAGCTGCTCTTCGGCTGCATTCGTAGAATCGTGGAATTGGACGGGACCCGAGGGTCATCCAGCCCAACCCCCAGCAATGCAGGAATCGCAACTGAAGAATCCAACCTCTGCTTAAAAATCTCCAAGGAAGGAGCGCTCGCCACCTTCCAAGCAGCTTTCGTTTGCTTCAACACAACGAGCAGTCCGCGCAGCTCGAAAGCTTACATGCTTCTCCACCATTTTATTTTATTTTTCCCCAAAAAATTTTATTCATTTTATAACACAACTAAACAATACAAACAGAAAAACAAACAATACAAACAAATTCTTGTCTTATCCTTATTTTTTCTAAACATTGTTAGGTGAGCTTCCCCAAGTCCCCCCATCTGATTTTCATTTTACCTCATCTTTAGCAGTTTACATATATCATAATTTTTAACCATTTTTTTAAATGATGCTTACTTTTACTATAAAAATCTTCATATTTTATCACTTACAAAGAATACCATTTTAAAATAGACCATCTTCTACTTCTAACCCTACAGCCTATATCCACTTCCAAAGCTATTCTAAGATTTAAATGTTAACATATTTTTTCAAATATTCTTTAAACTTCTTCCAATCTTCTTCCACCGTCTCTTCTCTCTGGTCTCGGAGTCTCCCAGTCAGTTCGGCAAGTTCCATATAGTCCATCATCTTCATCTGCCATTCTTCGGTTGTTGGTAAATCATGTTTCTTCCAACTCTTCGCTAGTAATATTCTCGCAGCTGTTGTGGCATACAGGAAAAAAAGTTCTTTTTGGGGATTTTACCCCCCCCATCTCCACCATTTTAATAGAGAGAGAAAAATATCTCTGATATCAGGGGTTGCCCACCTATTTCGGTATAGCGATTAAATCAAATGCCAACAAATGGAAATGCAATTGGTGATAAAAGCCTGTCTGTGCTGGTCCCGGGGGGTTACTCTGCGGCGTGGTCCGAGTCCAGTCCAAGGTCGATGGTACGGTATGGAGGCTGTCCGTCAAAGCTGAAGCTGGGTCCAAGGCGGGGAGTCGGGTGAGGTCAGGAACTCTGGCAGAAGAGCAGGACAGGGTGCCGGCAGGAACAGGCTCCTGCAACCTGGGACTGGGCTGGCCGGCTTTTATCTGCCCCGAGGCATAGGGCAGCCCCGATCCTCTGGTGACTCGCCTCTCCTGGCCTGGAGGCGAGCACTCCTCCTGCGGGAACTTAGTTCCCTCCGCCTCTCTGTCCTGAGCCTCTGCAGCTCAGGAGAGGCTGGAGGGTTACCGGACCAGAGGCAACCTCAGCTTCCTCTGACGGGGCTGAGAGTGGAGCACCTGCAGGCAATGGGTCCTCCATCACCTCCGGAGCCAGAGCAGACTCAGCTGGTGCCTGCACCTGAGGATCCAGCACAGGTGAGGACCCTTCAGGTTCAAGCCCCAGCCCCTGCTCAGCCGGCCTTGAAGGCGGGGACTCCTGTGCAGGCTGGGATTCCTCAGGTTCAGCCTCTGAATCCGATTCCCAGGCCATCACACTGTCCTCAAGCACACACACACACACACACACACACACACACACACACAAACAACCAGCCAGTTTTTCTGTTTCTCTGCTGCTCCTTATCGTTCCCTTCTTGAACCTGCTGCCCTGCAGGTATTTTGGACTAGTTTCATGACAGAGTCCCTTCCCTGCATGCAACAGCTGCCCATGTTCCTAGAGGGTGGGGCACAAGATCTCCATGCAGAATCATAGAATCGTAGAGTTGGGAGGGTTCCCAGGGGTCATCTAGTCCAATCCTCTGCAATGCAAAGCCCCGGGTTCAATTCCTTATGCCTCCGAGTCATCATGGGCTGTGCTCAGCTAGATAAACCATTAGTCTGAGTCGGTATAACATAAAGCAGCTCTCTGAGGACTAAGAGTAGAAATGGATGGGTGCAATAGGAGTAGTGAGCCTGAGTATGCTCACTGTGTTGTTTAGATGTGACTCTTCTTCCCTCGCAGGAAGAAGAAGAAAAGAAGTTCTGTGCATCTGTGGCCAAAGTCAGCTGTGTATAGCTCCGACTGGCAGGAACCCAATAACGTCACTAACCCACCTCCCAGTGTTTCTGAAAACTGATTCTGCTTTTGGAAAAAGAAAGGAGAGGAACAAATGTAAATTTAATTCAGTAATGTGTGTGCGGCATTTTACTAATAAAAAGGGCAGACAGTCTGCCTGGAGCATGGAGGGGCGGAGGCCAGGAGCAGGGCTGATGACTGAATCATCCTATCTGTCAAACGCGGTGGGAAGGCTGGGGCTTTATCCTGCTCTGTGCTCTTCTCATGTCAGCCCCTGCACACATTCTGGGTTAGCCCTGCAGGGGCAAAATCATTCAGTGGAGGACAAGAAGGATGGGGGCTGGAGCTTGTTCTACAGCAGAGCTGAATAATATTTATGGTCTCCAACCAGCTTGTATAACCTAGACAGCATCTTAAAAAGCAGAGACATCACCTTGCTGACAAAGGTCTATATAGTTAAAGATATGGTTTTCCCAGTAGTGATGTATGGAAGTGAGAGCTGGACCATAAAGAAGGCTGATCGCCGAAGAATTGATGCTTTTGAATTATGGTGCTGGAGGAGACTCTTGAGAGTCCCATGGACTGCAAGAAGATCAAAGCTCTCCATTCTGAAGGAAATCAGCCCTGAGTGCTCACTGGAAGGACAGATCCTGAAGCTTGAGGCTCCAAGACTTTGGCCACCTCAGGAGAAGAGAAGACTCCCTGGAGAAGACCCTGATGTTGGGAAAGATGGAGGGCACAAGGAGAAGGGGACGGCAGAGGACGAGATGGTTGGACAGTGTTCGTGAAGCTACCAGCATGAGTTTGACCAAACTGCAGGAGGCAGTGGAGGACAGAAGTGCCTGGCGTGCTCTGGTCCATGGGGTCACGAAGAGTCGGACACGACTAAACGACTAAACAACAACAACCATCTTGCATAATGCAAATTAATTAATGTACATGCACGGTTGATTAGTAAGGGGATGGGGAATCTCCGTCCTTTATCACCCGGCATTATTCCATACAACTGAGTTACAATTGCAGGGCTGCGTCCTGTACAAGCTGCAACTGAGAAAGTTTGCCGCTCGCTGCGTGTTTATCCCATGGCTCTGGGACTCGGGCCGTTTGCAGAGAAGGAGCTTTGTCCAGCACCGTGATGGATTACAGGGTCCTTTGGACTGGCTGACGGCTGCTTTTGCAGGCATGCGTTGCCTAGTTGTCTTCCCTTTGGGTTCTGAGGGACTTATCAGTGGCGTCGCTCATGTTCAGACAAACTACTTGCGCATTCATCTCTTTGTGAGCGCCGACTGTATTGTTTGCTGTAATTATGCTTCCAACTCTGTTCGGCTGAAGCATTTGCAAATTTTATTCCAGTTAAGCCCCATAGGATCCCCACAGGCAGAGGCTTCACCAGCAGTTTGCCAACTTAGACAGCTGCAGAAGAGGATTAGATGAATCCGTGGAGGAGTAGGCTCTCAATGGCTGCTAGGCTATGGATTTCACCATGAGAGGTAGTGGGAATCACAGGTGGAGAATGTGCCGTCGCACTTAGGGTCCTGCTTGTGGGAATACCAAAGGCATCTGGTCGGCCACCGTGAGAACAGGTAAAGAATCATAGAGTTGGAAGGGACACCTAGGGTCATCTAGTCCAACCCCGTGCAATGCAGAAATCTCAGCTGAAGCACCCATGGCAAATTACCGTCCAACCGCTGCTTAAAAACCTCAATGGAAGGAAAATCCACCTCTTCCGAGAGAGACTGTAAAACAGCTTTCGCCATCAGAAACTTTTTCCGTACGTTTAGTTGGTGAAGTGTAGGTGGGTTCCCACGGGGCAAGCAATAACAGCAAGAACCTTTATTGGACTACATAACTGGGAAATAGGGGCAAAGCAACTGCTTATATACATTCCTGGAAGCCTGGGCCACTCCCACTCCCAACGTGATTGGCTGTCTAAACTTCCAAGCTGCGAATCACGACTCAAGAGTCCAAGGGCCAATGGCAGAGGCCCAAATCCTGAAATGTTCTGTGATTGGACATCATGTATCGAATCAGAACACAGGAGCTCAGAATCCTTAGTCCAGACTCCAGCTCAGGCAAACACAGACCACTGAATACATAACAGTTGGGATCTCCTTTCTTCTAACTTGAAGCCATGGGTTCGAGTCCTACCCTCCAGAGCAGGGGAAAACAAGCATGCTCCATCTTCCCTGTGACAGCCCTTGAGATATTTGAAGGGGGCTGTCTTATTTCCTATCAGTCTCCTCTTTTGCAGGTTCAGCATAGCCACCTGACTCAAATGTTCCTCATAAGGAGGCAGGATCAGAATGGTCTGTGGCCTGATCCTGCAGCCAGGCTCTTCTTAACTCCTCTTCTGTCTTTTTTTCCAGCTCGGGGCCATGTATTCCTCTGTCAACTGCTCCCACTTGGAACTAAAACTGTCCATCCTGGAGCTGCTGGAGCAGGCAGCCTACAAGGACCTGTGCAACGATAGCAGTCGAGACGACCCTTACTTTGACCCCGAAGACCTGAACATGACCATAGAGGAGCTCCGCCTGAAGTACTTGGGGCCTCGCCGGTCGGGGTTCTTCGTCCCCATCTGCACCACGTACCTCCTGATTTTCGTGGTGGGTGCCGTGGGCAACGCCCTGACCTGCCTGGTCATCATCCAGCACCGATTCATGAGGACGCCCACCAACTATTACCTCTTCAGCCTGGCCGTCTCGGACCTGCTGGTCCTCCTCCTGGGCATGCCGCTGGAGATCTACGAGATGTGGAGCAACTACCCGTTCCTTCTGGGCGCAGGCGGCTGCTGCTTTAAGACCCTGCTGTTTGAGGCCGTCTGCTTCGCCTCCATCCTCAACGTGACGGCCCTCAGCGTGGAGCGCTACATCGCCGTGGTGCACCCTCTCAAGGCCAAGTACGTGGTGACCAAGAACCACGCCAAGAGGGTCATCATTACCGTCTGGGTCCTGTCCATCATCTGCTCCATCCCCAACACCAGCCTCCACGGCATCCAGACCCTCCACGTCCCCGCCCGGGGAGTGGTCCCCGACTCGGCCACCTGCACCCTGGTCAAGTCCCGCTTGATGTACAACCTCATCATCCAGGTGACCACCATCATCTTCTTCTTCGTGCCCATGGGCGTCATCAGCGTCTTGTACCTGCTCATCGGCCTGCAGCTCAGGAAGGAGAAGATGCTAGAGGCTCTGGAGGCCAAGTCAGCCAGCAACTGCGACTACCACAACATCCGCCTCCAGCAGAAGAAAGTCCGCAGGAGGCAGGTGACCAACATGCTGTGTGAGTTGAGGGGAGCCCAGGAGCTGCGTGGGATTGTGGGGGAAATATTGGGGGGGGGGTGTTACTTGCTTTCTTCTTATTCCCAGAACTAGGGCTACAGTCTTTGCCGTTGTGTTCCCATTCATTACTTTCACCAGTGAATGTGGTGTCAGAAAAGGCATATACAGTGGTACCTCGGGTTACGTACGCTTCAGGTTACATACGCTTCAGGTTACAGACTCCGCTAACCCAGAAATAGTGCTTCAGGTTAAGAACTTTGCTTCAGGATGAGAACAGAAATTGCATGGCGGCAGCGGGAGGCCCCATTAGCTAAAGTGGTGCTTCAGGCTAAGAACAGTTTCAGGTTAAGAACGGACCTCCGGAACGAATTAAGTACTTAACCCAAGGTACCACTGTATTATTTTATTGTTGTTAGCTGCCCTGAGCCCGGCTTCGGTTGGGGAGGGCGGGATATAAATTAAAATTTATTTTTATTTTTATTTTTATTATTATTATTATTAGCTGTCATACTGCCAGGAGTTGGTGATGTACCTTCTCTGTACAGCAGTAGCATGGTTCTCAAATAATAATAATAATAATAAATTTTATTTGTACCCCACCCTCCCCAGTCGCTCAGGGCGGCTAACAACCAATAATAAAAACAAGTTGATTGAAATACAACTTAAAAAACAAGATTAAAATACAACATTAAAATAATTTAAACATTAAAATGCAGCCTTAATCCATTCCAGAATTCCATTCCAAAACCAAGGCGCGCTTTCCCTTAGAAAGTAATGCAAAACAGATTCATCCATTCCAGACTTTAAAAAACAACCCCTAAAACAGCAATTTAACATGGATTTTACTATCTAACGAGACCATTGAGCCATAAAATGAAAGCAATAATCGATGTCCTGCACTATAAAATAAATAAGATAGTATTGTAGATGATAAAAAATTAAAATTAATTTTTTTCCCTTACCTGCACTGATGATAGTCATGGTTTGGATGGGGTTTTTTATCCATTTCCGCAGTCACACAATCAATCAGTAGCCAAACTGGGTTCCACACAGTCAGGAAAACAAATTAACCGAAAAAGCCTCAAAAACAAATAGCAAAACCAACGGCAAAAACAAAAGCGCCAAACGTAATCTGTTCCGGAGGTCCGTTTGACTTCTGAAATGTTCGAAAACCAAGACGCAGCTTTTGATTGGTGCAAGCGCCCTGGAAACAGCAGCTACAGCCGCATTGGTCGTTCGGCTTCCGAAAAATGTTCAAAAACTGGAACACTTATTTCCGGGTTTTCAGCGTTTGAGAAGCAAGGCGTTTTGAGTACCAAGGCGTTTGAGAACCGGCACAATATTATGATGGAAGACTGGGAGAAGTTGTGGAAAAAAGGAATTAAATTTACAGCATGTAGTGTATTAAGAGAAAATTTGATGAAAATGATGCATAGATGGTACTTAACACCAGTGAAGCTAGCAAAAATGTATCATACTCATGATAATAAATGCCGGAAATGTAAGGGGAGAAAAGGAACCTTTTACCACATGTGGTGGACGTGCCGCAAGGTAAAAGACTTCTGGGAAAGGATTTATAACGAACTGCAAAAAAGTGTTGAAAAACACATTTATTAAGGCGTTTGAGAACCAAGGTACCACTATATTTCAGCTAAAACACACCATTTGTAAATGTGTGCGCACACACAAACACATGCATGCGTGGTGCTGGAACTCAGCATGAATGCCACCCTTGTTCTCTTAAAGCAACAATGGCACCTACCTGAGAAGGTTTGCACAGTGGCAGAGTTTCATGCTCTGGCATGGGGGGGGCGCAGAACAGGTGAGGGCGGGGCTGGAGCGCATCCCGGGGGCATGGCGCGCCACCCACAGGGGTGTGGCACACACCCTGGGTGTGCGCCACACGGCCTGAGGGGGCATGGCGTCCAGTGGGGGGGGCAGCCGCAATGCCACCCCACTGGGATCGCACTGCCGGGGACGGTGCGCTCCCCCCGCACTCCTCTTCCTCCGCCTGTGAGGTCGGAACGGAGTTCTGGCTGAAAAAAAGCCCTGGGTCCATAGTTTAAATTAAACATTAATTTCATTTTTTATTTTTTTTTAAATGATATTTCTTAAGATTTCAAAAGAAAAAGATTACATTAATAAAAAAATTAACAATAAAAAGGAAAAATACAAAATACAAAATACAAAAAAGAAAAAACAGTTAAAAACAATTCCATCTTTTCATCACTTCTCTTACATTTACTTGTTTCCCGGACCTCCTCATACCTCCCTCTTTTGTATTCCAATTCAATTTGTTAGTCCAGCAATTCCTTTCCCTCCTTTTTAATCCTGATCTTTAATCTTGATATATTATAACATTAAATCTTTATGTATTAAAAACCAATTTTTCCATATTCTTTTATACCATTACAGCTAGAAACCGCTTAACTTCAATCCGTCATCATTCTAACATTCATTAATTTTACAATATTTCTGTAAGTAATCTTTAAATTTCTTCCAATCTTCTTCCACCGACTCTTCTCCCTGGTCTCGGATTCTGCCAGTCATTTCCGCCAATTCCATGTAGTCCATCATTTTCATCTGCCATTCCTCCAGTGTGGGTAGATCTTGTGTCTTCAAAATTAAACATTAATTTCAGCATAGGCGAAACAGTGGGATTTGTGGGGAGGACGACATGGCAGGGGACTTTCTGTAGGAAAGCTGGCAGGAAACCAAGTCCTGGATTTAAGACAGAAGAATTCTCTGCCTCTCTCTGATTTTGTCATTAAATTCCCCCCTGTCACAGCGGAGGCTAACACCCCTTGGAGCAACGCAATTCCAGCCCAATCCAAATGAATAAACAGATTCTAGTTTAAAATTATATACGCCAGAATATTCCCCGGTGTGAGGGAAGGTTGTTCCATGTCCTCCTTCGCTAAATACACAGTAAAGGTATACCAATCTGCTGTAAATGTGCCCTTTCGCTTCAAACCCCTCACAAGCTTTAATTTGTTAGGTTTCCTGCCACCGCTAACTGCCATGCTCTCTTACGCCACGTTCCTTCCAGAACTTTCCAGTACTTTGCTACTACCACCAAGAGGCCTCGGGTTCCTAACTGCCATTTCCTCGATGGCTTTAAAAAAAAGGATTAAGACAAATTCCCGCCATGATGGAGATGCTCCGCAGGGAAAGAGCGGTCTAATAAATAATAATAATAATAATAATAATAATAATAATTTATACCCCGCCCATCTGGCTGGGTTTCCCCAACAGAACACTAAAATACAATAACCTATTAAACATTAAAAGATTCCCTAAACAGGGCTCCCTTCAGATGTCTTCTAAAAGTCTGCTAGTTGTTGTTCTCTTTGACATCTGGTGGGAGGGTGTTCCACAGGGAGGGTGCCACTACCGAGAAGGCCCTCTGTCTGGTTCCTTGTAACTTGGCTTCTCGCAGCGAGGGAACCGCCAGAAGGCCCTCAGCACTGGACCTCAGTGTCCGGGCTGAACGATGGGGATGGAGACGCTCCTTCAGGTATACAGTACCGAGGCCGTTTAGGGCTTTAAAGGTCAGCACCAACACTTTGAATTGTGCTCGGAAACGGACTGGGAGCCAATGTAGGTCTTTCAGGACTGGTGTTATATGGTCTCGGTGGCCGCTCCCAGTCACCAGTCTAGCTGCGGCATTCTGGATTAGTTGCAGTTTCCAGGTCACCTTCAAAGGTAGCCCCACATAGAACGCATTGCAGTAGTCCAAGCAGGAGACTAGAGCATGCACCACTCTTGCAAGACAGACAGCGGGCAGGGAGGGTCTCATCCTGCGTACCAGATGGAGCTGGTAAACAGCTGCCTTGGACACAGAATTGACCTGCGCCTCTATGGACAGCTGTGAGTCCAAAATGACTCCCAGGCTGCACACCTGGTCCTTCAGGGGCACAGTTACCCCATTCAGGACCAGGGAGTCCCCCACACCTGCCCACCCCCTGTCCCCCAAAAACAGTACTTCTGTCTTGTCAGGATTCAACCTCAATCTGTCAGCCGCCATCCATCCTCCAACCACCTCCAGACACTCACACAGGACCTTCACCACCTTCACTGGTTCTGATTTGAAAGAGAGGTAGAGCTGGGTATCATCCACATACTGATGAACACCCAGCCCAAACCCCCTGATGATCTCTCCCAGAGGCTGCATGTAGATGTTGAAAAGCATGGGGGATAGGTCTTGTGTTCGAATCCCGCTTGCGGGTTTCCCATAGGAGACACCAGGTTGGCCACTGCGAGGGCAGGTGTTCTCCTCTCTCACTTTCTTCTCTCTGCCCCTCAGTCGCGCTGGTGGTCGTCTTTGGGATCTGCTGGGCTCCCTTCCACACCGACCGCCTGGTCTGGAGCTTCGTGACCCACTGGACCGACCAGATGCTGGGGATGTTCCAGTACGTGCACATCATCTCGGGCGTCTTCTTCTACCTGAGCTCGGCTGCCAACCCCATCCTCTACAACCTGATGTCCACCCGCTTCCGGGAGATGTTCAAGGACGTGATGTGCCGCCGGCGCTTCCAGAAGCTAGGCTCGCGCAAGCACTCGCCCAGCAGCACTCGCGTCACCATGCGCAGCACCGTCTCAGAGCACGTCGGAGGAGGCGACGGGCAGCCGCTGTCCGACCTGGAGGACTATGAGGCCGACCCGGAGAGGGACGAGGCGGAGGAGTGCGAGGGCCCTTTCCTCTGAGGAGGAAGCCGCGAGTCCAGCCACACATGTCTTAGGACGATGGAGCTTTCTCCTTGGGCCGCGAGGCACCGCTGGCGCTTAGCGGTACTGTGTAAAATAATGCGTTGGGATGGGGGCCTGGTCCTGCCTGGCCCCGCGTCCATTCCCAGCTGCTTCGCCCTCAGGAACTCAACCGCGTTACGATCAGAGGGCTTTCTTTTGTAAGGGGCCGCACATGAATGTCTTTCTCGGCCCCTCGTTGTAAAACCGTCACCGTCACAAAGGGTGTGTGGATGTGAGTGCGAAGGGGAACCTCATTTCCGGGTTCCCTAATTCGGCTTGCGCTTTTCAAAATGGCCGCTTGTGACTCTGCCTTCAAAATGGCGGCCGCAAAGAGGGCAGGGCGTGAGGCTGCTCCCAGATCCATGTGCGGCGAGGCGCATGGCGGGAGGTTCTAGAAAGTTCCGTTGGATTTCCACACCCTTTCCCCTTTCCGATTTCGGATTCAATCTAAAAGAGATTAGGGGAGGGGAGTTTGCCCTTGGCGGTTCATGTCCCTCTCATGGTCCCTGTTTTTCTAACTGTGGTGGCCCCGCGGCTGCCATGTGCTTGGTTTGAACCTATTTATTTATTTATTTTGTTGCAGTGATATTCCCACCTTTTTCTCCAAAGGCAGTGTTAAGTTGTGGGTGAACATATCAGACGACACAGCGATTCTTCAACAGCTCTTGTTTATTCACAGGCCAGAACAGAACTGAACTGAAGAGCTCAGCCAGCCTGCTTATATAGAGCTCCACTACAACGCAACTGTAACCATTTTCTGTAACTATCCAATCACTGAATGTCACTTTCCATCCCCTATTTGCATATGTGGACCTGAGTGAAAACTATCTACAGTATCCTCCTGCTGGCCCAGGGTGAGAACGTCAGTACATAACAGGCAGCATGCATGGTTCTCCTCCTTCCCTCCTGGTTTATCCCCTGCACAACACCCCTGCGAGGTAGGCCAGTCTGAGGGGTGGTGAGGAAAGAAGATACTGGACGCTGTATCCGTCCTTCATCCCTTTCAGAAGATCACCCAGTGAGCTTCACGGAGGAGTAGGGACTTGAACCCTCGTCTCCAAATTCATACGCGTGTGTGTTGGCATGCTACTGCTCTACATCTGCATAACTGTACGTTTATTTCTTTATTTTTCTAGGCTTTGGCACCCTGCCTTTCCCTCACGATGTTTCACGTGGCTTAACCCAAAAGAAAGTATTTTTCAGTTTTTAAAAAAGTAAGCATAACTCGGGTTTGCCATACGTCCGGAGTTTCCCAGACACAGCCAGCAATTGGCCGTCGGAAACAGAGTCCGGGCGGAAATCGCTTTAAATTTCTGGGGAAATCCAAATGTATGGCAACCCATGTCGGCACTGTCGTTGTTGGCGATTTCCCTTAAAAACAGCTCAAAAACTGTGTGTGTTTTTTCGAGATTTTGCAAGAAGCAAAAAAACTCAGCAACTTTGGACAAAACTAAAAAAAATAAAAATAAAGCCCAACATTTGATTTTCACTTTTTGAAATATGGCAAATTACTCCAGAAGAGACCAGGCCCCAAGAAGGACCTGAATGCAACATATATCTTTTGTATTTTGTTATCAGCCAGTTTTTTTTTAATCATCATAGGCAAATGCGGTGCTAGGGTCATGACTGAGGTGGAAAAGATTGTGGGTGCGGGGGTTGCTTGGAGAAGATGGATATTGATAATTTTTTTCTCCCTGTCTCACCATACGAGAACTCAGGGGCAATGAATGTCGGACGATTTGGGACAGGCAAAAGAAATTTGTTACACAGCGCAAAGTTTAACTGTGGAACTCCCTGCCACCAGGATGGAGCAATGGCCACCAAGTAGAATGAGGACTGGGATACATCCAGGATAAAGGCCGTCAGTGGCTACTAGCAGTTGGTAGGTCCTTGAATGCCAGGTTCTGGGAGTCATAGGTTGGAGTCTTCTGGTGCCACTTGTGGGCTTCTCAGAGCTATTTTGGCTGGCCACTGTGATCGTAAGAAGGTAAGAGATTTAGGGCGGTGCTAGAGGTTCCCCCGCAGGGCACTGAGCTGAGGGGGTGCAAAATCGAGAAGATCCATAATTAAATTTAAATTTAACATTTTTTATTTCTTTTTTAAAAAAATCATTTTTATTCAATTTTCCACTTTAACAATCCAATCACAACACATTAAATATTCCAAATTATACATATACATATCAAATAATCCGAATATTCTGCCAGATTGTAAATAGGACTTCCCATGCTTCAAGTTCGGAGGGTTCTGATCATCTCCTATCGCTACTGCTTTTCACAGTCACTTCCAATGGTTCCTCTAATTCTATTAACCTTCCTTCTTTCACGGCCTCTGAGTTGTTCCCGCAAGCGAGTTAAAACATTTTTTATTTCACTAGCCAAAGACCATGGCAACATCCAAAGAAGAAGGGAGAAAACAAAACAAAACAGCAGTCTTTACATATGCAGTAAAACCATGGTCAGATCCACCAAAATTCCTTCTTACACAGAATAAAAAGTAATTCTCAAATAAAATGTGCAAATTAGATTGAGTATATCCATTCAGGGGTGCCCAATTTTGGCTCCGCAGGGGATACCACGTTATGAAAGATTGCCAAAGTCCACCCCTGGTCAAGCCAAGGGCCCATCTTGTCCAGCATCCTGTTCTCACAGGGGCTGACCAGATGCAAGTAGGATTCGAACTCAAGACCCCTCTCCCCTTCTGCAGTTTCCAGCAACTGGTATTCAGAAGGACTGCTGCCTCCGACTGGCTAGCATTCACCGGTAGCCCTCTCTGATAATTTGTGGTCGTTTAAGAGTCCAGAGGGTCATCTAAGAGTGCAGCAGGGACGCGGGTGGCGCTGTGGGTTAAACCACAGAGCCTAGGGCTTGCCGATCAGAAGGTCGGTGGTTCGAATCCCCGCGACGGGGTGAGCTCCCGTTGCTCGGTCCCTGCTCCTGCCAACCTAGCAGTTCGAAAGCACATCAAAGTGCAAGTAGATAAATAGGTACCTCTCCGGCGGGAAGGTAAACGGCGTTTCTGTGCACTGCTCTGGTTCGCCAGAAGCGACTTAGTCATGCTGGCCACATGACCCGGAAGCTGTACGCCGGCTCCCTCGGCCAATAAAGCGAGATGAGTGCCGCAACCCCAGAGTCGGCCACGACTGGACCTAATGGTCAGGGGTCCCTTTACCTTTACCTTTTAAGAGTCCAGCTGCTGGAAAACCAGGCTTTATTTCTGCCAATTGAATCTGAACCTTACTTTCTTGTGGATAAAACCCTACAGCTGTTTCTCTTTTATTTGGAAGAAACAGAGTTGGATACAAAGCGATTTCGGGGTCAAGCGATTCCGTAAATATTAAAGAGCGTTCTCTAAAGCCAGCTGGGTCATTCACAGAAATCTTATTTTTCCCTTCAAGCAAATATTTATTTCAAAACGTGTGTTTGGCATTTATCTTTATAACTGCGTTGAGAAGACTTGACTGGCAAGTCTGCAGGCCACAGAATTTTTATTGCTGCCTCTTTTCTTTGTCAAAAAATGAGAAATAAATAGATTTGCTGCAATACTTATTACCCTGCCAGCAGGGAATGTTCTGGTTTCATCTAAATATGTAAAAATAACACCAGCATTTCTGCCCATCATTCTACATCTAAGTGAAAGAGGTCTCTGGGGGTATTACTTATTCCTGATTCTTTATTACTGTTGAGAATAGATATTTAAAACTTTTTTCCCCTTCTTAAAAACCCTAAAACTAACAGCATTTGTAAGTGGGAATATAGTTTTGAAAGCAAAGAAAGAACAAAGAACAATGACCAAGGAGGGGATCAGCCCACAAATATATATATATATATAAGACTGTTTTATCCAGAAGTGTGTTTGAGACTGGATTAACATGTACAGCAGAATTAAGTGGAAATGGGACAAAATGATTCCATCAAACAGTGGCAAATTCAGGTTATTTGGGAGGTTGTGCATAATGAGCCAACTTTCCCAAAAGATCAGACTCTTTGCAACAAGGAAAGCTAGAGGGAAATGCACTGGAAAGTGTGAAACGTCACTCACATTGACACAACTGCGGGAGGTTGGACTAGATGACCCTGGGGGTCCCTTCCAACTGTACAATTCTATGATTCTATGAAGACATCTAACCTCCATGTAAGTACTTCTGTCTGTCGCCTGCAGGCCAGTCTTGGTTCCTCGTAAGGATTCCCAAAAAAATAGACCAGAGTCAATTGATATTTCATCCAGCAGAGCTTTGCTGCTACTGAAGGCAAATGAGCATATTGTTGTTGTTGTTGTTGTTTAGTCGTGTCCGCCTCTTCGTGACCCCATGGACCAGAGCACGCCAGGCACTCCTGTCTTCCACTGCCTCCCGCAGTTTGGTCAAACTCATGCTGGTAGCTCCGAGAACACTGTCCCACCATCTCGTCCTCTGTCGTCCCCTTCTCCTTGTGTCCTCCATCTTTCCCAACATCAGGGTCTTTCCCAGGGAGTCTTCTCTTCTCAGGAGGTGGCCAAAGTATTGGAGCCTCCGCTTCAGGATCTGTCCTTCCAGTGAGCACTCAGGGCTGATTTCCTTCAGAATGGATCGGTTTGATCTTCTTGCAGTCCATGGGACTCTCAAGAGTCTCCTCCAGCACCAGAATTCAAAAGCATCAATTCTTCGGCGATCAGCCTTCTTGATGGTCCAGCTCTCACTTCCATGCATCACTACTGGGAAAACCATAATGGTCACAAATCCAGTACATTCAGGATTGGCCCTGTCCATAAGAAATCCAGTTGCAGCAGACTTAACTTAAACTTACAATAACTTATAATAAGATTACCGGTAAACCTTAACACTAAGCATACTGTGTACAGAACACCACACCAGAAGGAAGAGAGATAGAAAAAGAAAGTGAAAATCCAGGCTCCTTCTGGCCTTACTTTTATAGTCAGCATGACCTTGACAGAAGAGATAACATAACCATTTTAAGCCA